ATTTTCCAATTAAGATTTAAATCAGACATGTAATCCACCTGTCAGCAGGAACTAAGAGTTGAAAAACTGGGGTTTTGTTGATTTTCAGTTGTCCTTCTACATCATTCTGTGTGGCTACACTTCATCTAGACTGATTGACAACTCAAACCAAAGAGGGAACACCAGCATCAAATAGATAATGAAATACATTGTCAGTTCTGTTTGAGAGAACCCAGCTTAAACATAAAACACTCAAATTTGAGCTGTAAAGTATCTTTAACTGCTGAGTACTTTGTCCCATCAGAAGAGGAAATACACAACATTCTCTACAGTCTCAGAAAGTTCTTGATGTTCTTGCCCCATCTGAAAGCACAGGGCCCACAGTAACACCTTAAGCCACGTACTAAGAAATTTGGTTATTAAAGAAAATTTTGCCTTAGTATTGTGGCAGTTACCAACTCAGTTTCCTTTCTGACACTCTGCAAACAGACAGCATCCTTGAGGTCTGATCCTATACTTCTGACATACCCAAAGCTCCTCCTGAAGTCCATCAAAGTGTGGTATACCTGGAGACTGCAGCATAAGGCCCCTAATTACTTCCTCATTACTCAGCGAAATCTTACCTAAAGGTTCAATTATATAACTGGAACAAATATATATTACCCTATTTTTATTTTTTTTTTCTCATCTGCAAGATGTCAGGAATTCACACAGACCGTTCTTCAAGACGAAATATTAAATAAATGCAAAATGTCTGGACGTCTGAAAGTACAGAATAAAAGTATCTCCTTATTTGAGAGCTGACAGGTTTAATAATCAAGCTAATATTTCTCTTCCACGGTTAAGGCATCAGATTTCTAAACTGTCAACAGTCCTTTTATAAAAAAGAGATGTATGTATATCTCTATTCATTTTTAATTATATTTTATAAATTATGATCTGTATATTATTACCTCTCAGCTGCAATCTCACTAGAACATACAAGGAAATCTAAAAAATACTGAGGCCCTGATCCTGTTCCCACAAAAGTCAGCAGAAGTGAGCCATAAATTTCTATGGGAGAATTACTAGGCTTCAAAGTAGGTTTGTGCTGTAGGAAGAATTGCATGGCACCAGGTGAAGCCAGGTACAAAAGAAATGTAACAAGAGTGTTATCATATGCTCAAAGAAGTTTAAAATTCTCCGAATTTTAAAAGCCTTATGTTTTTCAGATTTGAATAGCTCTGAAGGGGGAAAAAAAATAAATAGAAAAAGATACATTGGCAATCTCAACAGGTATTTTAGGCTGAACACAGAATGCAGGATAGGGCCCAGAATGTTTATATTGAACAATAATAAACTGTCTTTGCTGAGAAACTCAACTTGAACTGCAGCTGGAAAATATTTATTTCCTTTTCTTTTCCCCCAAACTGATCTGGTCTAGCCAGGGCATAGCTGCAAATAGTTCCCATCTACAGCTAATACCTCAAAGCAATAAAAAAATATGAGGGTGTTAAAAATTCAAACACTAATTATGGGCTGTTATATTTACTAAACACAGCAGAGCAATAACGTAAGTTTCAGGTTCTTGTGGCCACTACTGCACTATTTGATCTACCAAGTCCCCGGACCCTTTACAGTTACTGTATTATGCAACTGTTAATAGCACACTAAAATAAAATTAGATAAACACATTTATTACCAAACACATACAGCACAACAGCTTACAGCTGTCTCTTTTTTTCCAGCACAGGTATATCTCTGAAGAGTTCATTTCTTTGCTGATTTTGTTTTTGGTTTCCAATTAAGTTATATAAATAGTCGAGCAGTAGATTTTGAAAAGGGAAGCATGGGCTATTTGAGTACCCCATTACAATTCTTAAGGTAAACATTGGCTAATCCTACAATTCTGCCTTTTTTCAGGTCTAGCAAAGGAATAAAACTGAGAGCTGCCTCCTCTTCTAGTTCAGCACTGCCACTGTCACCACTGCCATCCCTCACATTCACATTAAACACACACAGTGTGGCTTTATACTGCTTGATAAGAGTAGAGGTATATGGACTTTTGGGGTGTCAAACAGCTGTCACAAACTGTCACCTCCACAAGAGAAAGCTTGGCACACAACAAATTAAAGTACACTTCTTTTTTACTATCATTATTCATAGCCAATCAGTTGAAATGGTCCTAGTATTTCATGTGCAAATAATACCATGAGGGGAAGACCCAAGGATCAGAATGGTGGGCCAATACATAAAACAGAGAAAACAACATGCTGTCTCTGTCCTTCTGAAGTGGCTCATCATCACCCCTGCACCAACTTTCACCAAATGAGATCTAGCCTGAGGCTATATATTAAATATACATATCAAAGCAAATAAAAAAATAAACCTGCAGAGTCAAATTGGACAAATTTGCATGCTTGAACTACTACATTTTCAGGTAGAAGCCCACAAATGACAGCTTTTTTTTTTTTTTTCCCCTTTTTTTAAATATAGTCTTGCATGTTTGTATTAGTCATTTTTTAAAGCTTTTCCTTCTTTATGAATAAAAGTGGATTTCTTTCTGCTGGAACCTTGTACAGTGTAAATATAAATGTGCATACATTGGGTAGTTTGACTAAGCTATAAAAAAGTGTTAAAGTTCTGTTGAGAAAACAAGCTAATATGTATAAAAAAAATAATCCAATAAGGAGACACATTTCCCAAAACGCATGAATAAAATGTAACTATGTGATACAACTCTTCATTTCCCAGTTGGTGTTCTGGTTGCACAAATTATTGCTTCCTTTCAAAACAAATAGCAGGGGGCTAAAGTAAAAATGTTATAGCTCAAATCTCCAGGAAATAAAAGGCTTTAAATTATAATACCCAATGAAGTGGTAAACCCTAACGGGTGCAAGATAAATGGGTTGTCATATTTATTTGAGTTTGCTTTTTGGGCCACAAAAGCAAGAGGAGATTCTACTTAGGGAAGATAATGGTTATCAAATTATCAAAACGCTAACCCTCTCCACCTCTGTCCTATCATTGCGTGTGAATTTAAATATTATAATGGAGCACTGCAAATTGGCTTGAGCATTCACCATCTGCCAGAACCCTAAACAGGCTAGTTTATCTAATCTCTTCAATATAAACATAAGCATGCTCCATTTCTACACTTCCACTTGAAACACACTCTTGTAGAGAAACTGTACTGGAGAAATGTGTACTTTTTTTTCCCTGTTGCTCTGCCTTATGCAAAATGACCCCATATGTTTCAAGTTGCCACTCATTTCAGTTTCTTTTCTGGTACTCTCCCAGAATACTTGTGCACATGAATTTAGGTTTGTAAAAAGCCATAAACCAACTATTTTTTAAAATACTGTCATGCCTCATAGAGTTTATTATCTATGTGTGAGATAGCTGATAAGCAGAAAAACTTTCAAGAACCTCTGCATACATTTTTTTTTCTCTCAAAATAATAGCTTTAAAATGTAAAACACTGCAAAAACCCTGTCCTGCAATGTTTACCGAATACCATTGAGAAAATGAAACTTAAGGCTTGAGTCCAAAAATATTTCCTGGGCTCTGAAACTAAGCCGTGCCAGAAGGAAGGCATTTAGAATAATTAATTATTGTTTTTTTTATCTCCCAATTCTGCTTCAGTCCAGATCTAATGTAATTACCAAATACAGACACCAACAACATGTTTTCAAAGGAAAAAAAAGCTCCTAGAAAGCTCATTCTTCCTAGGCTTACAGCTACTCTTCCTCTTAATACACTGGGAGATAAAGGCGGGAGCCTGTGCAGAAAGCATGGTTAACGTCACACCAGGTGTTAAATTAATATTTCAGCAGCTAAAATATTAGACTGCATCATTTAGACTATGAGTTCAATTGAATCTAAAACTGTGTAAACCCCCTTTCTCCCCGGGGGGGCGTTACTATAAATAAACTAGAGTTCACACCCACTCTTTTTAACCAGAGCTATTCCTTCCCTTCTCTGCGGTACCAGCTGCAATCTTTCCCTTCACATCCCGAAGTCTCTCTGCAGGTACATCTTTTGATGGATCACAAGAGCCACTCCAAAACCCGGAAAAACAAAGGCACTCCTCCCTACCACGCACACCAACATTCAGTCCTACACGGATAACACTAATTCACGAACTCCTAAAGCGTTAAAATCAAACGCTAACCTACGGTTACTCAATCATCATTCTCTCCAGCTTTCTGTAATACATTGTTAATAATTGCTTCATCAAGGTTACTGTCTTTTATTATGAAGATGCTTCAGGCGTTTGGCAATAAGTCCATATTCTGACAATAAGTTGCTATAAAGCACAAGCATTGGAAACTCTAATGTGTTAACCCTTTTTTTAAATGCAATGTAGTATTGCCAATAATTCTCATCACTTGTCATCCCCACGAGAAAGGGGGGGGGG